GAAACAACATTTATTTAAGCATGTACTTTTATAGAAAATTTGGTGGACTGTGAAAACCATAAATGTAAGACATAAGGAAATTAAAAATAAACAAATTTGTGAGAGAGTGATAATACTTGTTAATAATAGAAGAAGAGAAAATCAATTTATAGAGTTGTTGTGGCGAAGAAAACTAGCTTTTGGTGAGGCAGATATGGTTGACTTACAGGGTTATAAAAAAGCAAATTACATATAGCAATCACGATGTTTTCATCTTGTGTACATAACCAGAAGTATGCCAATTAATAGTAAAATTTAAATTGACTAGGTTACCTTTGAAGATAAAGGTAAATTTACTTATATGACCTTAATGCACATAATCATTGTTTAAAAGAAAATTTTGAAAGAGAGTAGGTGAGCGTAACTTACTGTTTTACTCTTCTAATATTCCCCATTTTTTTTTATGATTTATTTGTCATTTTAGGTTTTAATAAATCATATTTACTATCATGTTTATTTGTCATATTTCGATTGATCATTTTAGGATTTACATTTAATATTCGAAGGGATTTATATCTTGAATGTTTTGTTTATTGTTTATAAATCGCTATTTTAGGATTTTTTTTATCACTGTTTTATGGAGATAATATTGGTTTGTTTAATTTTTTTTGTGTTTTTTCTATTTGTCATGATTGTAAATATATAATTTTTGTTTTTTGTTTAGATCCAAGTTGGGTTACTTTAAATTTTTTTTAAGGATTTCTTTTATTACAATTGAAATGTTAATATCTGAGGTTAAACTTGTGTTTTGACATGCTATATAGGGTTTTGCTAATGTAAATTTTTTTTATTTTTATTTTTAATAATGCTCATGTGAAAAATTCAATATGAAAGGGAACTTTGAAAAAGAAATAATAATATAATGGTAGAGCCCTAACTGTTACTAAAAAAATAATAATAATTAACTTTGAAAAATGAGTCACGTAATCCATTGTGATCCATTAGCAGAAGGGTATTTTTGTCCTTTTGGAATAATTTAATTTCAATTCAATTAATGACTAATTTAGTCTTCTCACAATATTAAGGTTATTTTTGTCCAAAAATATAGGTGTCATACACTAATTTTATGCATCACTTAAGAATGATGGTCATGTGTTAGGTCAATAAAATTATAAGGGTTGTTGATCAATATATGGCGCATACTTCTATCTTGATATACAAAATGAAAACTTTATTGGTGCTATATATAATTTACCCTAATAAAAATGAAGATAGACGTATAAAATTTGAAAAAGGTTATTGAATGTCATTTTTTTCTCTACGAAAAATCTGGGTTGAGGGTATCGAGTTTCCTGAAGCATTTTAATTCATATTGAAAAAATTCTTTAAAAATGATTTAGGAAAATAAAGAAACCAAAAAAAAAATTATAGAGCTATGAGGGAATTCAAATTGCGCATACCCAAATAGAGTCCCCGAAATATCCAATCCCGATCTTCCACCTACGCTTAAACTCTGAACCAATTACATGATCCATCATTAAATTCCAATCAAATTTGCCATCCCAAAAGAGCCTAATAAATTACTGTTCTTTGAATTCCGTCCGGCTCGAATCCCAAATCTCAAAACAGCAGATTAAAAGAATATATCTATACACACACATAAATAAAGAAGGTGATAAAGATGTTGATGAACTGGGAAAATAAAGAAGATAGAGAGTTGTGAGAGAAAAAAAATAACAAATCCAATACACAAAAATTTTCAAGAACTTTTTGGTCGGAGATTTGAAGGGATCTGTGCAAGAAACAACCAAAAGGCGAGGTTTGAGGAAAATTTGTCACATGAATAAATTTGGGATGACATGATTAGTAATTTATCAATAAGGGCAATATTGGAAAGAAGTATAAATTTGAACTAATTTGAAAATAAATTTCAAAAGTAGGACCTTTTTATCCTAATAATTTTTTTTTATAGGAAACAAAAGTAAGACTATATGTTGTAATGTGATGTCTTTCAATTTTCTAAATTTTCAGGACATTTTCTGCATTTATTATTTTATTGCGCATTATTTTTCTTTGTTGTGATCATTTTATTATTTTATTTTGTATGCCATTCATAATATGTATAAGGGATAGTATGGACTTTTGTTATGGAAATGGCATGATGGGGTTTTAGTAATGTTGGGGGGTTGTTTTAGTACTTTTGCAAGGTCACACTTTGACCATGCCTTTGCTTGACACCATGCATTACACTTGGCAGCTCTTTCTCATGCAGAGGACACCTATACACTAAGTGGCAGCATTCCACTAACTCCTAGAGACCCATTTTTGGCAACTAGTCTCAATTTCTTCTATGATTTGATCCTAATCTAATATGAGACAAGAACTTTTTCATCCCAAATCTAACTGAGACAAGACCTTAGTCTCAGTTACACTTGGCCCAGTACTTTTTTCATCTTAATCTAATATGAGACAAGAATCTTCCAACAACAATCTAGTTAGAACAATTTAGTTAGGTTATTATTGAACTCAACATTTATGGATGTAAGCATATGTATGATTTTTTTTTTTTTTTTTTTTTTTTTTTTTGGGTTCCGTGCTTAACATGGTTTAGTTCAGCCCAACCTTGGCCCAGCTCTATCAGTGGAGAACTAAAGTCCACTGTTTGAACCCGGGGCTTCATTTTGATTCTGAAACATTTGTTTAAATAGACAAAGGCCTAAGAACTTAGGCCCGGCCCGGACCATCTTAGAATCCACCCACCCAATCTAGTTACAGGCCCATATCAGTCCAACAGAAACTATTCTCAACCTTGTAAGCCCAAAGGGGGAAATATAATTTTGAGTTAAAACTTGATAAATTCACAATGGACCTCTTTTTAAAGGCTAAAGTTCATCTTCCTCACTAATGATTCATTATAATTTAGACACATGTTTAAAATTTCTAAAAGTAATCATTTCCCATTTTCTTACAGGTTAAATCAAATCTTAATTTTTTTTCCCCTTTCCAAAAGAATACGATTGTTTCTGTATCCAAATTGAACAATTATTAAATTTATTTAAAGAATATAATACATTAAGTGTTCAATAGGAAAAGAATATGAGCTTAAAATATTATATGAAAATTTGATGTTAATCTATATTTGAATATAATTTTTCTCGTATATTTTGTAGATTTATTTTTTATCATAGTTAGATCTATCTTTTGCATTCCTCAAAGTTTCCAGTACCTTCAAGTGATAAAGCCAAGTGTTTTTTTTTTTTTTTTCTTTTTTTTTTTCAATATAAAAAAGAATGCAAATTCCGACTTACGAGCTTTTGTTAGTTTGTATATTATTTTACACATGGAATAAAAGTAGAATAATAACCGTAATTACAATTTTTTTAAAAATAGACATGTCTTAATTTTGTTGGGCCACATCAGCTGGAAGGATAAAGTTCATCCTCTCATAAAAAGACCCAAATATTACCCATACACAATTCTTGCATTAAGAGTACCGAATCAACGCATTGAATTTGAAATTAAAAAAAATTCAGTTTAAATTTTGAAGTAAATTTTCTTTAATTCTAAAATGAAGGCGCAGCAGCCGATTTAAAAGTTTCAAACATGGAAAATATTTAATGGTTTGCATTCAGTTGTTAAGGAGTACGAAGCAAGTGTTTCATTTTGAAGAATTCAAATGCCGTCTTCCCACGTGTGAAATCAAATTTTTGTTTGCCAAATGGACCCCAACTGGAGTTAGAAATAATAGTCTAATCGAAATGGAGAAAGATAACTTTTGACATCTAAAATCTAAAATCTAAAATCGTTGAATTCGAGAATGTGATATTGAATGGACTAGTTAGTTAGTTAGTTAGTTATGGAGGATGATATTCAATGAAGGCTGTCACTTGTAGACAATCGATATAGGTTGCCGGCCGGCAATATGTTTCCAAACAAATGGATTTTATCTTATTTTCTAACCCTTTTTAATATTATCTTATGGAAAGCACTTTATATTATTGGAGTTTTCAACACTCTTTGTGTGACAAATTAACATCTATTGTTTTTGAGTTTCCGATGGCATGAAAGGGACAAATTATTATTCCTATGGGTCCCTTTTTTATATAGGAATCTCTCCACTTAGTTTAAGTTGCATTATTTTCATAAATCACTTAATATTTATTTATTATTATTAAGCTAGTCACCAAAAGAGAAGTCTTTCTCTATTTGGCCTCTTGTCCCCTTTTCTTTTTATATTATCTTTTTCTTGGGGTCTATAAGAATTCAATATTGCAAAGTCACAACATGGGTTTTGAAATGTTGTTTTCCTACTAAGAATCTTGTACAGAAACTTTGAATTTTGTACTAGTTAGTTGTTTTCCCAACATGTATCTTTGGAAGAAATTAATTTTGTGTTGTAAATGTGAGGTTCACCTTAATTTATTTATTTTTTATAATGTGCAAAATGCACTATGTGAAAAGTTGTGTGAATGCAAAGCGTGTGCAGTGGAATGTTGTTGACACCAATGAACTAAAACAGTGAAACGAGGCTGTGTTTTAAAAAAAAAAAATTTGAAGTCCATTGATTTATCACTTGAAAAACAGAAAATTGTTTTTGAGAATTGTTTGCAGACAAACTAATGTGAAAATTATTATTCCTGATAATCGTTTCTGATTTATGATGATTTTGCTCTGAATGATATATAATTGATGAAACCTAATACAAATGACACGTGGATCTAACTCAATCTATTTGTAGTCCAATAAAGATTAAAATATGTATTTTGAGAAGAAAAACAATAAAAGGTGTGTTCTACTTGTTCCTTGCACTTATATCTCTGCTGATATATATAATTTCTTTCCAGTATTTATAACATCATGACCTATATACTAAGTTGGCCCCTTAATGCACGCACTGGTCAAACACATAGCTCCAAATCAGAACAAACAAACAAACAAAACACTGCAGATTTATACAAAGATAGAGAAGAATAAACAATTGACCCGCAACAACAACAAAACCTATATTAAAGGGTACCTCAATCTGTTACTTGGCACCACCATATCATCATCAATTATCACACCACCATCCCCCATTATGGGTAAAAACATGTTCTTTCTTTCTCTCTCTATATTATTTCTCTCTCTACTATCATCCCCCACGTCTTCAATCGCAACCGTCCAATCCCCAATCAACGTCTGGCCCAAACCAAGAACCTTCTCATGGCCCAAACCACAAGCCACTGCTCTCTCTCCACAGTTCACCATCTCATCACCAAACCACCCTTACCTAAGTCCCGCCGTTAACCGTTACCTCCGTCTAGTCCTCACCGAGCACCACGTCCCCCTCGTCAACCCCGCCGTCAACTCCACCTCATCAACGCCGTTACAAACCCTCTTTCTCACAGTCACCGACCTCACTGCTCCGCTACACCACGGCGTCAACGAGTCGTACACCCTCGAAATCCCGGCCGTCGGATCGTCCGCCAATCTGACGGCCGAGACGGTGTGGGGCGCCATGAGAGGGCTCGAGACGTTCTCGCAACTCGTCTGGGGCGACCCGGCACGAGTGGCGTCCGGCTTGTTCGTTTGGGACTCGCCCATTTTCGAGCACAGAGGTTTGATGTTGGACACATCGAGAAATTACTACGGGGTTGGGGATTTGATGAGGCTGATTGGGGCTATGAGTGCGAATAAGGTCAATGTGTTCCATTGGCATGTCACCGACTCGCATTCGTTCCCTTTGGTGTTGCCGTCGGAGCCCGATCTGGCGGCCAAGGGATCGTACGGTGCCGGAATGCAGTACTCGACGGAGGATGTGAAGAAGATAGTGGAATTTGGGTTGGAGCATGGGGTTAGGGTTATGCCCGAAATCGACATGCCAGGTGAGTTGAAAGTAGCATTCAAGCCCTGCTTTCTATTAACAGCGCTCACTTCATTTTCAACAGCAGTGTAGCTGATACAATAAATATAATAATATATATATATCTGTATGTTTATATATATTTATATATGTTACATAGCTGATGCACATCATATATATGTACACACATTAATTACATATATGTTTGTTAGAAGTTGGAAAAGGATGGGTTGAAAGTCTGTACATGGAGTATACAGTATAATTTATTTACCTGACCCATGATGTATGTTTGTGTCTATATTACATATATGTTTGTTAGAAGTCGATTATCTTTTAGTATTCAATTAGCTTAGGGCTGCAAAATTGATATTTTAAAACTCACTGATTCAAAACGAAATGATCAATCATACTATTTTAGTAATTTAATTATGAGTTGCTATGACTTTTAGGATATTTACTCCGTATTATATTGGGTTGCAACTGATGGCTGCTCGATTTTGGCTTAAAATTTTCATGAGCTTCAAAACTTGGCTTGTTTACCGAGAATCTTGACCAAACTTTAAATGATTTCTGTGCTTATGGAGCTGATTTCGAGGTGGACTCAAGTTATCATGATCTCTAAAGTATGATTGATCTTCAGTTGCTTAGCTAATTAGCTTGCTAATGATTTCAAACTAATATTATGAATCCGATCTTAAATGAAGTGCCGATAGCTTTGTTTTTTCTTATAACTGTATATGTTATGGTTAACTGTTTTTTATTTGCTGGTAACATGTTATTTTTAGTTTTAAAATTTTGCTGAGCTTCAAAACTTGGCTTGTTTACCGAGAATCTTGACCAAACTTTAAATGCTCCCAATAATGACTTGAACTCAAGTAGCTCTGTTCATTGTGTAGTTTGAAAATGATTTCTGTGCTTATGGAGCTGAGTTCGAGATGGACCCAAGTTATTCATGAGCTCTAAGGCATAGATTGATCGTCAGTTGCTTAGCTAATTAGCTTGCTAGTGATTTCAAACTAGCATTATGAATCCGATCTTAAATGAAGTGCCAATAGCTTTGTTTTTTTTTCTTATAACTGTATATGTTATGGTTAACTGTTTTTTATTTGCTAGTAAAATGTTATTTTTAGTTTGAATACAATGATAGAATTGCCTTTGTGTATATTGCAGGACATACAGGATCATGGGCTGAAGCTTACCCTGAGATTGTTATATGTGCAAACATGTTCTGGTGGCCTTCAGGAACCGAATGGCCTGATCGACTTGCATCTGAACCGGGAACTGGTCATCTCAATCCCTTAGAGCCCAAGACATACGAGGTAATAAAAAATGTCATTCGTGATGCCACAACTATGTTCCCAGAACCATTCTACCATGCAGGGAGTGATGAGATCATCCCGGGATGTTGGAAAGCCGATCCAGCAGTTCAAGACTTCCTATCAAGAAATGGAACCCTTAGTCAGCTCCTCGAAATGTTTATAAACTCTACTTTACCATACATTGTTTCCCTAAACCGCACTGTGGTATATTGGGAAGATGTTTTATTGGATGCCACTGTAAAGGTAAACCCCACTCTTCTTCCCCCAGAGAGTACCATTCTACAAACATGGAACAATGGTCCAAATAACACAAAACGAATTGTTTCTTCTGGGTACCGGGCCATTGTCTCATCTTCGGACTTCTACTACTTGGATTGTGGACATGGTGATTTTGTTGGGAATAACAGTGAGTATAATCAACCACCGGGTACTGACCAGGGGAATGGGGGATCATGGTGTGGACCCTTCAAACATTGGCAAACCATATATAACTATGATATAACATTTGGGTTGACTGAGGAAGAGGCCAAATTAGTGTTAGGAGGGGAGGTGGCACTGTGGTCTGAACAAGCAGACTCAACGGTATTGGATCCACGAATTTGGCCTAGAACTTCAGCTATGGCAGAGGCATTATGGTCAGGAAACCGGGATGAGACGGGGATGAAGAGATTCGCTGAGGCAACGGATAGGCTGAATGAGTGGAGATATAGAATGGTAACCAGGGGAGTTGGAGCTGAACCTATTCAACCACTTTGGTGTATAAGGAACCCGGGCATGTGCAACACAGTTCAGGGACTTGTTTAGCTATTAGCTTTGTATGTGTTTGATGCCCTATTAAATATATATATATATATATATATATATATATATATATATATATATATATATTTTTAACTTTAAAATTGAAATTTGAGAAATATGGAGAACTATTAATTTGTACCTCAATGTTGATTTATAAATAGATTTTTGTTTTTCAATAACAGTTCAGTTTTCGTTTTGCATATTGGAGAATGCATAGTGATTAAGTTGCCCTGCTACCTTGAATGGTTGATGTCCACCTCTCTCTTCCCTCAATCTTAAAATCATGTGCTCTATTCACAAATTCATAATTGAAGAATGCATAGTGACTAAGGTTCGCGCCGGTCATCTTCTCATTAGGGTTTGCACCGGATTGAGCACTAACCTCCTCCATTAATGGCTAATCAAATAGTTAATTGCGGTTATTAGGTTAGACAATGGACCTGGGCTTGCGCTTACTTTAGGGCTAGTTTGTTGTCCCAGTTGTCGGTGTACTTGGCCTAATGGCCCATCATGTAATTATCTTTCTTATATTTCAGTTGCTTAAAATTTAAAAAAGAAAAATGAAATTTTTTTTTTTTTTTTTCATTGGAAGTAGGGCTGCAACTCGGGCGGGTTGGGCGGGCTGGAGACTGAATTCGGGCTCAGCCCATGTACAAAATCTTTTGCCTAAGCCCAGCCCGAGCCCAATCCCAGCCACCCAAGCCCAGCCCATAAGTAACTTCTCCTGCCTAAGCCCGCCCATGAGCCCACGCCTCTGTATTCAGAATGTAAAAAATAAGAAATTTGTACAGCAACAAGGACACGAACAGCATTCCTCCAAAAAAAATTCCAAACACACTACCAACTAAGTTATTATACACTTGTGAAATAACATAGTTTTAAAATAAATATACCTTTTTCGGGCTCGGGCTGGGCTTCGGGCTTTATATTATATCAACCCAAGCCCAGCCCGAATTTAATTTGGGCTCAGAATATCTAAGCCAAGCTCAGACCTAGAATAGAAAAACACTGCCCAAGCCCTGAAAATTTCTGGTTGGGCTCAGGTAAATTCGGGCTGGCCCAGCCCGAGTTGCAACCCTAGTTGGAAGCTGTACCCAACAATATAATAACGCTTTCAAAATATAAGAACTTGTCCGGAACAATATAATAAAGAAATTCTTTTTTTGTTCATAAAAATACTCAATAAAATTTATTTTATTATAATAATTTAGAAGGAAAAAATTTCCTTGTCATAAATTGTATCTTGAAAAGAAACTCTTTTTTTTTAGTAAATGTGAGGTCCACCTCTGCAGATACTAAAAATGGCCTGGGCCGAGCGCGACCCATATTCTAGGAACGGGTTAGGCAAAAGTAACCGATCCGAACCAAGTCTTCATTGATCAGGCTCAGGACCGAAAGATCATTTTGGAAGCCCAATTTAAGATAAAAGGAATTGGACCCATAACCAAGATGAGCCCAGAAGGTCAACCCAACGTAAGGAGTTAGTTAGGAAACTTCTGGAATATTTATAACAGTCTATAAATGGACAGAAAAGAGAGGAAAAAGGGGTTGGAAAATATTCGCAGTATAGAATTATCCTTTCCAAATTGAGAGAATATTTTTCTTGCATCTTCAATGGCACCGTCTGTGGGAAACGAGCGATCGAGATTCATTCGTGAAGAAGAAGCTTGATCTCTGGAAGTTTGATTCAAATCGGCGAGATCATGATTTGTCTTACAGAGTCTTTATTCTAGTTGATCTTTGGAGATTGGAGTCGGATCTACACAATCACGATCTATTTAGTGAAGCTTGATTTGACGAGTTCATGGTGGGAAAAACTCAGATCCGGCCGAAGGAGATCGAAATTCAGCTAGTTCGAGGCCAGATCTAATACATTCGCATTGGCAAAGTTCAAATCCTATTAGGAATTCACGGTTGAAGACTTTGCTCCGATCAGGAACAATAATAGGAGGTGAGAGTTCTAATCCATAGGAGAATGACCAGCAAATGAAGCTCGATGAATTGTTGAGCATGATTGAAGCTCTGAGAAGAGAGAATGTAGAATTGCGAGCTAGAATGGAGCGTCGGGAAGCTCCGGCGATTCCACGACCACCTCTAGTTGGAAAGAAAGTTATGCAACCCGATGTTGCTTACCAAGGCGAACAGGAAAAAAACAATCACATGGATTTTCATCGCGAAGAGGCCAGGTGACTTACCGACAGATGTTCACCACGTGGAAGATCGAGAATAATTTATTCATGTAGATCCACATCGCGAACGGATCAGGCGAGAAGGAGCCATGGCGATCGATCCATATCAAGAAAGGCTGAGGCGGGAGGAAGCCATGGAGTTTGGTCACCATAAGGCTATGTCACTGTGGCAAAGAGAGTTCACAGAGGAAAGATCTTTCGATCCGTCTTACCGGCCTTCAATGGCTACGTACGACTACACAAGTTCGGATAGGAGATCTGTAGATCAGAGGATTCTCCCAAGCTTTTTGAGGGAGAATGAGGCATTCCGTTCGGCAGCACGAACAGTCGATTCACCATTTATAGACGAGATCCTGAATGCTTCGAATCCAAGAAAGTTTTCTGTGCCACTTTTCATTCCGTTCGATGGAATAACCGATCCAATCGATCACGTTTACCATATACAATTGAAAATGGCTCTGAACACGGAGAACGATCCTTTGATGTGCAAGTGCTTTCATATTAGCCTGACCGGACCAGCGCTCAATTGGTTCAAGAACTTGGCGAGAGGCTCAGTGGATAGCTTTCGGAATTTGTGTGATAGATTCATAAGCCAATATTACAGGAACAAGCGTCCGGCCAAAGATATTTCAAGTCTGTTTACTATGAAGTAGCACGAAGATGAACGTCTCCAATCTTTTCTCACCAGATTCAACCTCGTTAAGAGCATGGTAATAGAATGTCATCCCTTCACGGCAGTTCAAGCATTCAAACTAGCAATGAACCGAGGGAAACCGTTCCACACAATTCTAATGGTGAATACACCAAACACTATGGACGAGCTAAACGAAAGAGCTTATGGTTTTGTGCACTTGGAAGAAGAAGAAGCTGCCAATGCCAGGAAGACGTCCATGATCTCAACGGAAGAGAAGTCCAAAACAAAGATTCGACAAAAACAAGCTACACCACAGCATCAGACCTCCTGGAAGGCAGAAAAGAGGCCTAGAGAGGAGGAATCGGTCACCCCACTCAAGGTCACCCTGGCAAGGTTGTATCAAGAAAACAAAAATAAGTTACGCTCTCCCCTACCAATCAGGCAACCTCTTGAACAGAGAGATCAATCCAAACATTGTGCTTTCTATAGTGGTTTTGGTTATCAGACTAATGAATGTAGGAACTTAAGGAGGCAAGTGGAGATGCTGATAGCAAAGGGAGAGTTCACAAGATATGTCCAAGAGCCGGTAGTAGAGCGGAACTGACCGGCTGAGCAAGTGAAAAGGAATCAAAAGCCAAACTACCATAACGCCCAGCCCGTTTAGATTATAAATGCAATTCATGGCCGACCTGAGCAGACCGAAGAGTCAGAAGAGCTGCTCTAAACACGTCTCCGTCAAGCACAAATAAAGAAGAGAATAGGCAGTGTGCGATACCCCTCGGATCCGAGACACGTGTTGATCAGGCCCAAGCCCAAACCCATGGGAATATCAAATAATTAATATTTTAAAACGAACACAGAATATAAAAAGATTTAAGAATTTAAATAACAAAGCTGAAATAAATACTAAATATAAAATCCTCTAAACTTAAAGATTTATAAAATTCAATTCTCCAAAACTTCCAAGAGTACAATTCGGGAATCCATCTAGTGGAGCCCTCGATAAAAACTCAACTAAAAAGTAAACTATTGAAAATAAAACCAAAACTAAACCATGGAATGAAATCTTACGTCGTCGGTAGAGTGAATAATAGTCTCTGCTCAGCACGATCAAGCCTAAGACTGAAACCGTCCGATACCTGAAAAATATAAGAGTGGGTCAGGCCTATGAACAAGTTCTAATCTAACTACCATACAGTGACCTGATACGCAGATACACCCTAGATATCTCACAATATCTATCTAGTCCATAAATACATATATATATATGCACCCTAACCAACAAACCTGAGACTCAAGCTCATCTCGTGGTACCATAACCATAAATCTAAAGTCCGTCCAAAACCAGAGTATGTCATTCAATTATTCATTGAGCTGACATACAATATAAGATCCAGTTTGTCACTTAACTTATTTAGTTGATAAGACTTAACTATAACCAACTAATCCAGGAAGTTATTCAACTTAGTCAGTTGATCTGACTTAAACATAATTAGGATTCAATATTTTCCAATCCATTCCTTAATCCGATAGGTTAGGTCTTAGCGTTTTGAGCTAAACCATCCCTAGTATGCCACCGTCCCATATCAGTGCATACAATCCTCCATATTCATGTAAATTACAACACATAAATAATAGTTTAGCAATTTACAGTCTAAAACCATTATCCCAATAATTGTAGAAGATTGTTTAATATTTTAGCAATTTAAATCTAAGCAATAATCCATGTAATTGTAGAAAAAGATTTAATATTTCAACAATTAGCATCCAGAGCATGCATAGATCAAAAGTAATAAATAGATAACCCTATCAAGCATTTAAAAATAAGTTTTATAATCATTCTATATCCCATTAACTTGCTAAAATTTAATTAAGCAATTAATTTTCTTTCATCCGTTAACAGCATAGAAAATGCATTAATTTTATACTGTTCGTCCCATTAACTTAGAGGTAAACTTTAATCAATTAGAGGTCTTAATAACACCCACATTTAATTTCTTAATCCCTCTATGAAGTTCTGGAAGCATTCAAAACAGTTCAAACCCTCAACAGTCTCAAAACAGTGCGTCAAAAAACTTCAGAAAAAGAAAATTTGAGAGAGCTTGCTCCATAACTTTGGGAGCAGGCTCTTTTGTGTATGGAGCCGGCTCCATGCATCTTGGAGCCGGTTCTAAGAGTGTGGGAGCTGGCTCTCATGTAATGTTACTGATTTTTTCTATTTTCTATTTTCGGGAACTTTTCCCGGTTTTGTCATTTTAAGAAAAAGGCATAATGGACTTTTCTCATATATATGTATACATTTATATCTATTTATTAGAGTTTGATATTTATGAGGCAAATGAGGCAATGTATGGTTTGAAGGAGGACAATATTGTAA